ATGCTTATATTTTTACAGTTGAGAATGAATCAGGCAGTGTATAATTAAAGAGGCGGAGGAAACTCTGGCACAAACGCCCACCGCGTTGAGTCAAACCGCTCGAAATAGCCACCCCACTCCCGCCTGTCCACATCCAACCCCGGAAACTCTTCTCACTCGCACGGCATTTAAAACTTTATTGCTCCACTAATACTCTACTGGAAGTCTAGATCCCAACCTCTTTATCTCTTGATTGACAGTATTCTTTATTAAGATTTTTAATTTATAACGGTGTTTATATGATTTTACCTCTGCTATACGGAATTATGTGGGAGATAGCACAGGAGCGTCGAAGTCTTCATACACATCAACTTAAAATATTTTGAAAATGAGCGAGAAGATTTAATAATCGAGTATTTATGGATGTTTCAATTTACGGAAGGATAAAACATCATAACAAAAAAAAAAAAAAAACTCGTTGCCATTACGACTATCTCAGCACATCCCTTCTATCACATATATATTTTTTTAAAAAGATATCTTGTTCGGTCCGCTTCAACCGTAAAATCTTTATCAAATCTAATGATCAACAACTAATTTTAGAGATCTGTTTCTACTTGCGAAAAATTGTCAGGTACCTACCGAAATTTCTGTTAAATAGCATTATGAAGAAAAAGGTGTTTTATTTGCAGAAATCTCGAAAAGTAAGCATTTTTTCTGGATTTTACCCATTAATATTACAAATATTTCAAAATTTCTTGCAAAACTGGAAAAACATGGAATCGATTAGAAATTTGTTATTTTATTGCGACACAAGGAGTCAAATGAGTTTAAATATTTTATTTAGCAGAAATAGAGTTCAGAATTGTATTATGCAGCTCGAAAGATCCTAAAATACGAATTATCTTTTTATTAATACATTTTTAATATGGTTTTTTAGAACGATAATTCAGCTTTTCAACTGTTGTATGAACATTTAATTAGGATAAAGTCTTGAGTATTTATCTATGAGTCATTTTACGACTTTTTTTTTTAATTGAAACTATTTCATGGAGTAATATAAAAATCTGTCACAATCGGGACAATAGTTGTAAGAATCCATTCACACAAAGTAAATAATAAAAGTAAATAATAAATAAATAAAATAATAACTAAATTTTAGGGTATGAAAAATAAATGCAATAAATAATCACAATGCAAACAAATCTAAAAATCTATTTTTTTTTTTCATGAAAGGACCAATAAATCTTTACAGCTTAGCATGAACATACTAAAAAGTAAGGATGTTGGATAAATATGTCGATATAATTTTACTATCGAAAACCGACGAAAAAAATAAATAATATATATATATTCACACACACATATAAATAAAATTAAAAACTTCAATAAGGAAAACCACCTCATTACTGAGAATATTAAAATGAGATTATTTTAAAACAAACTACTTGAAAAAACATTAGTTAAATCAATTATTATGTATGTGTTCTTTTTATCTATTTATTTTTAGATTATTTTATTTTTATTTACTGTATATATATTATTTTTCTGTACAATTTATTTTATTTATTGTACATAGAGTGTGAATGTGATCTCAGAACACTATTATAATCATCAATTATTACTATAGTTAATACTAAGTTTACTTTCGTTTGGTTCATGATGAGAATTATTATTATTTTGTTTTATGTAGTTATTATTCATTTTCTTCTGGCTCTTAGAAATTTCTTTATAATAATTATAATGTTAATAAATTTATATAACATTATAACTATTTATAGGTTGTTATTGGTAATTCGTTTAATAAACATTTTCATTCATTTATTTAATTTTTTGTAGATCCTAGAAGTATATATATATACTTATAGATACTTCTATAAATATATCTAGTGATAGTCAACTTATAAATAAATAATTTTGTTTATTAATTATCCTTCTTGCGTCTAGACATTTCATAAACAATTGGAAAACAATCATATCAATGTTTTTTTCTCCATGATAGTGTATTTGTTATTTTTTTTTATGTTTTCCATCTGCTGTCGGTAACAAGATAAATAAAATAAATAGTTGGGTTCAGCGCTAACGTCTCAGTTGGTTATGTTAGATAATTGTGTGTTCAATAGTTTGTGAAATGTCTAAACGTACCTATAGAATTTTTTTTATTAACATTTGGAGAACCAGAAATTATTTGAGAACTACAGATAATATTTGAATCGATATATGGAAATATCGATGTTTACATCCATTCTGAACCATAGCGTAGGATTTTCGGCAGTAAAAACTGAAAGCTCATTTACGGAAAACCATGTGAACTTAGGTAAAAATCTAGTCTCGTAAATGAGCTTTCGGTAATATAATTTCAATAAGCCTTTGCCTGGTTAATGTTGAACTAATCGGAAGCGAAGAGCATTATCTAATCGTTTCTATTTTATAAAAGGATTTCATGATAGTAACTTGCCCAGATAAAGTTTATAGTATCGGAATTGTTGCGACTGCATAAGCGTAATAACGTTGAAGGATAACATAACACAAGATGTACATAGATTTTCGAATTAATTTTTAAGTCAGTTCAGATTTTATTATGGAGGGTTTCTTTGATATTTAAAAAAAAAAAAAATATCTAGTAAATTTGTACATGGATATAATGACATGAAACACATGTTGAGAATCTACCCACTGGTAGTACTCTAATAATGTCTACATTAGGAGATGACGGTGCCATCTTCTTTTCAGACGCCTCGGAGGGTTATCAGGAATTGAAGAGGAAGCAAGGTAAGAAACGATAGAGTTGGGATGGTTATGAAAGGATATATATCTGGATTGGGCCAAATCTGAAACTTAAGGAACATTAAGGTCATTGTGGATTGTAAGGATTGGATACTCCGTAAGTCCAAATAGGCCTTCTTATAGTCATGTATATAAGTCTTTTTTAATTAATTGGAAGGTTGGAGCGTTTGTCTAGTAAGTGTTGAAGTAGTCGGAAACGTCGTTTCTTTGATTTACAATCAAATATAGTTCACTCGAATTAATAGATGAAACGATTTGAGGAAAACTCGTTTCTTAGAAGAAGTACTAGGGAGGAAATTACCTCATATATCAAACGAAAAAAAAAAGTGTGCAGTTTTTTTTATACAATTTTAGCAAAACGCACAAAGTGACATAATCTCCTGAGACACTTTAAAATTACATAATCCGTAAAGAAAATACATTTAAGATTGCAGTTTACATTTGCCTTTTGGTTCACAAGTGGAAGGCATCTGCATGTTATTACAATTTCAAATTAATTCTAATTAATACGCCATGGACGATTACAATGTTTTTTTTTTTCAAACGGAAACAAACTGATATGAAAATATTTTGAGATTCTTGCATTTAATCAGATGATCGATTAGTAGTAATTTTAAAATTTGAATTAAATTAAGAAAAAAAATGATATTACACATTAATAAAGCCCACAGTAAAAGTAAGACAGCAAAATAAGTAATGTGAAATCACATAAAAACGCAGACAACTTTAATGAGAGCTAAGGAAAATGTAAAAATAAAACCGCAATTGTGTTTGTTGTTGACCAAGATATAAACGTCGGACTTAGAACTCGTTACATCAGTTTTCCTGTAGCATACTTTTTTCCGTAAATAGATATAGGTAAATAAATTACTCAATAACATTTAATAAGTTATATCCGTATACAGCCATTAGGAAAGTACATAAGGTGTTTAAATGCCAATATCTTTTGCGGAAAAATGTTTATTATTATTTAATTGCTGACTGAAACTATTGTATTAAAACTTGTTCAGAGGTCGTTTTAATATCGAATGTATTGCTTCAATATTATTGATAAATAACATTGACCGTATAAAGTGGGCTTAAAAGACAAGCTTAAAACTGGGCTTGAAATGAAATTTTAACTTTTTATTTTTATCAGTTTCGGTATGACTGGAATCTCAATTTTCAAGTTTTTTTTTCTATTATTTTGGAATTAAATTTCCCTCGCAATTCATAAACTAAGGAACTTTTATTTAGTTTCTATTGATTTCGCTGTATAAAAGTCGATCTAAAAAAAAATTATGCTTCTCAAGCAAACGACACATTCGAGTCAAGTAGTTCATTAAGGACAAATTAAAGCCCAATTACTGTTTACTTCTCATTTAAATTTATTTTTTTTAAAGAACTTAAATAAATAAAATTTCAAAACTTTTACCACAAAACTAGATCTTCATTACAAAAATTTACTTTGTAACATTTAATTTAAATATTTTTAAATAAGTCTCATAAAATCGTCAATCCATGGTTTAAAAGGATTTAAGAAAATGTAATTGAAGCTATTTTTACAACGAATATGAAGGAAATTTATCATTAACAACTGAATATCGAGTTTGATAGTAACTTTTAAATAAAAATGAATGATTTAAAAATCTATATTTTGAATCACTTCATTCTGAAAACAAAATTTGAAGATTGAGATGAAATAGAACAGAAATGTATATGAATAAATGTATATTAAAAAAAAATTATCTATTCAAAAACCTAAAAAGTGCGTTTTAAGACAACTATATTTAAAATAAATAAATAAAATTATACGCAAATGGAAAAATTATTTATTTTAAGCTACTATCGTTTTGGAGGAAACACATTTCGGTGAAAAAATGGCATTAATGACTTTATTTAATATAATATGAGGTCAAACATATTAAACGTAGGAGAGAATAGACATTTTCGAATTTAAATAATTGTTAAATAAATTCACATTGCAAATGTTTTTTTTTAGTTATCATAAGAGGTAAATTCTAAAAAAAAAATTTGTGAAAACAAAAATTATTATAAAACGTTTCTTGCTGCACCTGCTGACTTATTTATGATAACGTAAATATCAATTAAATGAGTAAAATAAAATTATAAATAATAAATGACAAACTAGATAAAAAGATCACTCAAGCCAAGATATATTATGAGAAGAGGCTGTGACGCGTTTCGGAAGCGTTGATCGGAAGTTGTAGCGGAGTGTTGGGAAGAGAGCCCAAATGTATATCACTTGGAACTCTACCAGAATAGAACCGAGGCATCTTAAACAATCATCTTTTGTCCCTGCCTCCTCCAGCCACACTCCATTTTCTTCCCGTCACACAACCCTTTCAGAAACAAAATTACTTTACAGCATCGAAGATACACCACGGATGGGTTGGATTGAAAGATCTGAAAATACGCCAAACGATAATATTGTTCATGATGCCAGGTATTAGGTTATATTTGGAAAAATTCAACAAACATAAAATGATACCGTTTCTATCAAAGGCTCAGAAAGAAATATGATAAATAGTTTGGATATACAAGCTTACTAAATTTTTTCAATGAGTTTTCCAGAACATTTATACAGCTCATCGAAATAGTTTTAATAGGGCATTAATAATAATTATCAATAATCGTGGTACCTAATGTGTACATTTATTACAATTTTAAATACCGTAATTCACAAAACTAGAAACCTTACACAAATATTAAGGAAGCACTTATTTGACATACTAATAAAAATATCCAAATAGCATCGTTAATACAAAAAATAATAGAAATATTTGTAAACTTATTTTAACACCCTCTCATTTTTTTTTTTTTTTTTTTTTTGGCATACAAATATTTGAAAAAGTCAAATTGTATTTATTGGCACAGAGAGAGTTTCTAAAATAATAGTTTTAAGAGTGTAAATTTTTATATTCTATCTGTCTGGCTATGTACTGATTTTATTTAATAAAACTCTTGCGATTGGGGCGTTTTCAATCTAAAGATCGGCAAAGATTTTCTATTCAATTAGGTACTAAAAATATTATATACACATTGGCTTTACACCTGGATCGTAAGATAATTTGATCACAACAAATAAAAAGGTGGTCTACAAAAATATTGGGTTAGCCTATAAAACCCGTCACTTTGGGAGTGTAGGTCACGCCAAACGGCTCAATATTTTTTAAGGCCTCATTTTTTCTCGAGTTTGTGCTAAAATTATCTTCGATACAAGTGAAAATCAAATGAATATTTACGAGGTTTTAGTACCTAATTAAATAAACAAAGTTTGACGATCTACAGATTGAAAACATCTCAATTCCGAGAATTTTCGTAAATAAAATATTTGTCGGTTACGATAAGAAGAAGCTATTTACGAAGTTTCAGGCGGATGTTAATAATTTGATAAAAAGGGGCCTGTACCACGTGAGTTAAGGAGGATGGATATCTTCTCCGACGGGAATATTGCCTTAGTTCATAATTTTTCCCCTCTCCCAAAAAAAAAATAAAAATAAATAAATCTTCATACATCTCTGAACTATTTTTGTTAAACATCTCTTGACGTTCAGTTATTGACCACGATGACCACCAACCTCCAGAAGGAACATATGATATCCCTGGAGCGACCTAGATTTGACGGAAAGAACAGACGGGACGGGAGTTAGATAAGGAGCCTGGAGGAAGTCTTATAAACTGTTACGTGGGATCAGCCCCCTATAAACTGTTACGTGGATCAAGTTGCTTCAACATTTACGTCACTATCTCTTGATAGCAATATACAAAGCTAACCTATAACGACAGACAACTCATGACCTTTCCACTCCCGATAGTCACTCTACACTTCCAATAGATAAGTATGTGTGACACCACACGCGCTTATGGACACGTGTGTTGGCGTTCGATAACGGAGGACATGTTTTGGTAACTCGTGTCACCGGCGAGTAAACCCATTAATGTCTTATCTTATTGGTCCTTCTTAAATTAAAAAAAAAAAAAAAAACTGTTCCGGAGCGTTTGAAAAAAAAAGTCTTAAAATTATAAGCAACAGGAAATGCAGCGAGCATCTCTTTTTTTTATATATTAATTTTATAAAGGCGTCAACCACTAGGGTGATTATCGCCTAGTATCAATGTTAATATTTTAAATTAATGAATATATTTCTGTCCGTCTTGGAAAGTTATAGAGTCTGTCAGTCATCTGCACTAGCGGATCCAGGATTTAATTTTGGGGAGGGGGCTTCAGCCCGGAAACTTTTTTTTTTTTTATAAAAATGACGATAATTACTTTGAAAAAAAAAGATAGAAACTAACTAACTGTATGAAATGGTGTTTAAGTGATTCATTAAGTCCTTTTACATGTAATTAAGCGAACAATAATACTTTAAGAGATAATTTTTTAAATATATTTTTCCATAAAACATGGTTATATTGTAACATTTTTTTTGAGGGGGGGGGCTTCAGACCGAAAGCCCCTCCCCCGTAGATTCGCCCGTGGTCATCTGTACGTTGTCCAGTAAAGCGGAATAAATGTGTCAAATATCAAAAAGTGATGTTTCATTTCCATTACCTCTGCATTCAGTTAGAAAGTATTTCATGGCGGGCACACGTAGGTCTAACATTCAGTAGGTGATTCGCGGGCCATGAGGTGAGTAAGGCGTTCGAGCGAGCATTTCTAATATATTGAATATGTATATGCATATTTATGACAAACTAAAAATAAGAATTTCAATGCGAACTACGGTAAAATGAAAAAGGTATGCGCATTCTTTCCCTAAGCGTGCGAAATTTCACCAATTTATTAATCTTAATATATTATAACCAGGCTCAATTTCCGTAAACTAGTACTTACTATACGAAGATGGTATTTAGTCGCCCTTCGTCTTTTTTTCAGCTCCCCCCTCCCAAATTTTACAAATTTATGATTACTTACCAGCTTAAAATTAAAAAGTATATTCTACCAGTACTGAAAGGGAAAACTGGTCCGGCAAGTGGGCCTTGCAAACCCCTGATGGCTTTAGGTTGCCGCAGCGTACTTAAATATCTCGGGGCTTCCAAGAAATAAATTTGAGCCGACTCAGTTGGGAATCGAACCCACAACGTTCATATCCAGGCCTCAACCTACTCGGCCATAAGGTTCCAGTTTTTTTTTTGTTTTTTTTGCATACCCATTGTTAAGTCTTTTTCTCTTATTTAATAGAAGCTGATATATATTTTTTTTTTAATTACCGTTTATAAAACATGAGCAGTGATATATCCTTAAGAATTTAGATTAGGAACTAACAACATTGTAAACATTTCCACTTCACTATCCATGTGAAGATGGTGGATTTCATGTAAAATAGTATAGATGGTTAAGATTTTATTATTTTGAATTAAATTATAGGGTTTGACTATTTTCAAAAATAAAATCAAGTATGTTAAAAAAAACATATATTTTTAAACCCTCTGATTTTCCCGCACCCCATAAACTGTGTTAAATTTTTTTTTTCATTATTTTAATGATTATCACGGATTATGGTCAGTAAATCTCACTGAACATGTCACTGTTTATATTAACACGTTGACACAAATGCCACTGTTTATATTAACACATAACACAAAGCGTTTTGCGTCTGACGACTCTTTACGGAATTAACATAATTTTAGCAATAAGTATGACAGGCATGTACTTTAACTGTCCAAGATCACCAGTTTTAACGACTGACCCTGAAGTTTGTTTGTTGTTCGAACGATTATCTCGTAGGTAATTTGAGCCGTTAAAATCTTTAATGGATTATATTTTCGGATATGATGCGTTATTGATACACGCTCTTCTCGGTGTGAAATTAAATATATTAAGTAAAGTAAATATTTTAGGTCCAATGATATTCGTTATTATTCTCGCTCTGAATAACTATCATAGCTACAAGAAATAAGATGCCATTGAAACCGTTTCTTCCCAGTGTAAAACCAGTCATCGCTAGCAAATTGAAGGTTGGACGATTTGTTACTTATTGGAATAAAAAGAGAAACATACAATAAAAGAGATATCACGAGTAACAAAGCGAATGAGAAAAAAAAAATTATAAAAACCAAAATGGAATAGGGCAAAGAATATCTTCAAATAACTATGTGGAGAACAGATAAAATAAATACTAGAAATAATAGGTGATAAACAGATAAAGTGAATCCTGTTCCCTGTAAACAATGACTAAGTTTTGTTTCCCGAATTATCACTTATTTATTTATTTAATTTTTCTCTTCTGAGGAGTTTCTGAACTCCGGAGAAAAAATTAAATGGCCGACAGAAGTTGATGAAAACAACAATTACCTACATTAAGTTAGATGATGTTATTCACAGGATGTCTATAGGTAATAAACAAAGATAAATTACTTTATATGATCGTCTGCAATTTACTGTCAATGTATATAATTTATTTTATTTTCATATGAGGTAAGATAAAAATTGTTTGGCCCGTTACAATTTATTTTTTTTAATTTTGATAATCAATAATTTTTTAACATAAATTTTTAACAGTTTAAAATATTTAATTCACAATACATGGGACACCTTTTAAGCAGGGCTTGAAACGGAAAATTTTTTTTTTTATTTTTAACAAATTTCGATATCACTGAAATTTTTTTCCTGAAGAATTTACAGTTCTTTCGAAGCCAGGACTTTTTTCCTTGTAACTTTTAAGTAAGGTGTTTTACAGAATTCTTATTTTTAAAAAATGCTTTTATTTAAATGCCCTGCCGATTTTGCTAAAAGGTTTATATAAAAATGACTTTTGCTATTAGCTTATCAAACAAACGACGCATAATTCAAGACAAATTATAACTCTAATCTAAAACCAATAACTGTTTATTTTTCATTTAACGAAACTTTGTTACAAAAAAAGATCGTAAGAATTTTTATTTGAAGAACCTTTTTCCTAAAATGCTTATAAGAAACTTATACATTTTCATGATGCTTAAGTTAATAAGAAATATGACAGAAATTAAACAGACTCTCTTTATCATACGAATAAAAATATGAAAGCAGTATGTTCAAGATATATTTTTATTAGCACAGCAATGGATACTTAGAAAGTAGCTGCAAGAATATAATCAGAAAAATCAATGAACAAACCTTTATAAATATGTCCTGTTGTATGTTTACTTGTGTATTTATCATTATTATGTAAACTTTCTGGTACCAACAGGAATTCTAAATCATATAATTGCGGTCGCGTCCTGTATCTTGTAAAATTCCCTGACTTCCGGCGTTTTTTTTTTAAAATAAAATTCTCCGGACATTTCTATGTATTGCAGGTCCGACAGGGCGTCCCCTGCATTCAAAAGAGGGACTATGTTTTTGTGGATGTAATAAATACCCACTTTTTTATTTGTAAAGATGTTATGAAGGTGCAAGTACATCCCGCTAGTTAAGATAATCGGAAATTTCCTTTAGTGGCACGATTCGTTCTGCATCCTACGTGATATGTCGTACATGATAGCGAGATAGACTGACTGTCATGCACTGTCACACTGTCACGTGGTCAATATCTAGTCTTAAGCGGCTACCTGCCAGAAATAATTTCCTCTTCCTTTGACGTTTTCCTAGGAGGAGCCGAGGTCATCCCCACCTCCTTCCCAGGCTTCCGGGACTGAAGGCCGCCAGGTATGCTTACTCTTTCCAAGACGAATTTGGGAAGATTACTGCATTTCCGTTAATGGGGTCCACATCGGCCATGCAACTCAAATAATATATTTTAATTTAACAGTATCGTTATTTAATGATTATGACAACTTAGAAGTGAGAATATCTGATATTTTAAATACGTCTGATTTTAAAATTGCGTAATTTAAGTATTTTTTAACTTGATATATTGTGAGAAAAAAAATTAACTCCAACTAGTAATATTTACAATTTGTTAATTAATATTTTTTAAGTCAATAATCAACAACGCTACAAGTTCATTCATATCGTTTTATAATAATTACGACGTTTCATTCATACATCTCTCTTCTAATCAATGGAAGTAACAAATATAGCATCTGATGAAAGTTGTGAATACCTCTATTCGAAAAGGCTTAAAAGATCGTCGAAGTAATTTCCGATTTGACTATGCTTGTATGAATTAAAAGAGATCATCAAGGATTAATTTTTTAATCATTAAGTCCCGACCCATTTGTACTAGAGATTCTAGTCATGTAATACAACTTTCAACAACAGACTTTATAGACCCTTTTACATCGTTAAGTTTCTAGAACAAAGTCGGGGTTGTGGTTGACATATTGTTCCTGTAGGTGTGCCAGGAACGTAACCAGACTTTGCAATTTAGCTCAGTGTTGTTTGTTATTCGTGTTTGAAATTGAAAAAAAATAATAGCCATTTTCATTCATTCAACTCCATATAGATGTAGTTCCGTAAATATTGGGATTTTTAGAAGAGGTGGTAAACTTCAAGAACAAAAAAAAGAATTGCATAAGCAATTGATTGTCGTACAAAGACAGATTCTCTATCCCTTATTAATTTAATATATTTTAAAACTTGGTCATGGGTCCAACATAACATTTTAACAATTAATAGAACGCAGACATACTGACAATAAAACAATAGAAACATGTATGGAAGAATATGCTTCCCGAACGCAAGGGAAGCAGCTAAAGTTAGATCAAAAATTTTCAACTTGTTGGATCAATTTGGAACCAAGACTTACCCAAACTCTTTTACACTGTTAAGTTTCTTGAACGAAGTGAGCAGAATCCGAGAATCTGGTCGGAAAACTTGAACGTGTAAAAGTGCCTTTAGAGAACTGATTCAGAAGAACATAAATTTTTACATTTTAAGACAAAAGAATCTGGGATTAAAGTAAGGCTAAAATTAAAAACGGGATTATTGCACCTGAGCACAAAGAACGGAAAAGTCAAAACTACAAATCAAGGCTAACAAGCAGAAACGTCGAAAGAACAGTCATAATGCAAGAAAAATAAATAAAATAAAAAATCGATTGAAAACAAGGAAAAAATATTTTAAAAAACTAGCAATCGGCATCAATCTAGCTAGTGTTCCTGGAATACCAGGAAGGGAAGAGAAACAGGTTTCGCGGCATGTGGTATCCAAGTTGGAAGACGTAATAAATAGGCTACAGCTGTTGTAAGGAATCGGGTTTATGGGACATACATTTATAAATATATAGATCACATATATAATACATTTTTGTTTCATTGCACAATGTATATGGAACGTATGTACCAATCAATATGGCACGCTATTCATATAAAATATCAATTTAATTTATTTACAATTATGATATACATTCAGGAACGCCTTCAGACATTAAAAAAACAAAATCAATTTACATCAAATAATGTTCATCACATACTTTTACCCAGAGTTTGAAAAGCTATAATTAAAAAATAAAAACCAAATTTTACCAAAATTTTAAATTCTGGAATTTTTACAAAAGATTTTAATTATTGATCATAAGTAATAAAAGTAGTATTCTGATCATTATTTTGAAAAAAAAATTTACAATTAACGATAATAATTATCCTTGATTAATACTTTTTTAAATCAGAATTATAAGTTTTTTGTAATCCCTATGATATATTTTAAGTATGGAGCAGTAAGTGGAGAATATTGTTGTCAACTTTTAGCAACATAGTATCTTTATTTCCTTAATTTATTAGAAATTTTGAGAAAAAATATATACATATATATATATATATATATATAGTGCAGGTACCGCCGCGTGCATAATTAAAGCTATCTAAGAAATATAGTATCAAAAATATGTGCACATACGTAACGTATACATACATATTAATATTTAATTTGCGTGTAGATGGTGATCTTTATTTTCTGATCAAAATATTTTTGATCACATTTTAATTATTATTATTTACATAAAACCGTGTCAGTCAGTGAGCGATGGTTATTTTTAATCGAATCAATAAACATCAAAGATAGATTTAAATTTTTATTATAAATCAGGCATGGTTTTTAAAATAAAAATCAAAATATAATAATTATTACATGATTTTGTGGAAATAATAATTATCGATTTAAACCCTGCTTTTGTCATAATCTGATAGTGTTGCCAAATTTATAATTATATTCAATATATAATATTATATTCAAACATATCATGACAGTAAGATGAAAAGAAAGAATGTGAATAAAAATTAGTTCAAGCTCTTCAAGTGTAATTATTACTTTTACTTACATATATATATATATATATATATATATATATATATATATATAATTTATGTTAATGAGTCAAAGAGTCATTAAAATTTAATCTGCTGTGAAATGAGGTACATCAAAGCAGAGTTATTCCCATTGACCTACAAGAAGTAGGGATAGGTGGAGTCAGCAATGTTCCACTTAACGAAATAATGCTGGGCTATGCAATCCCATAAACTGGACAAAAAAATAAAATAAATTTTCACTGTTGCAAAATGTGGATGGTAATTCTTGTCCGGTAGACAACTGAATCTTCCGTATTGCCATTGATTAAAAGGGTTACATAATTATAAAATAAAATTTTTAAAAACTCCAAATTGATGCAAAAAAAAAAAAATAAATAACCAACAGAGTATAGTAGCTAATAATAATGAGAAATATAAAACAGTTATATCAATGAAGGCATATATATATGTGTTCCCAAGGAATAAAAGATATATGTTCGGACGTTAAACCTTTTTAACTAAAATAAAATATATTGTAATATAAACAAGCATGAAATTTTAACATATTATTATTAAAAAAAAATGTATTGGGAATATACACTCTCTAATATAGCTAAATTCTAAAGGTGGAATTAAATAAAATAAACAGTGACGATTGGCTAGATAATTCTAAAACGGATAACGGAATGAAGCCAGAATCATGGAATATTCGGATAAGAATGACCTAAACCTACTGAGAAGTAGGTGACCCCAGATAAACATCAATATTTTAGTACTATGATTACTGGAGCACATTTATCGAGGGCATTTATCATCTTTGTTTCTCTCCGACTTGCATAGCACATGCAACAAGGATAAACATTCGATACATCTACGCAGAAGAACAATGAAAAATAAAAGGGAAAAAATGTTTGAAATTGATTGGGCTAAACAGATTTAATGTGAAGCCTTCATGTTCAGGTTTCCATTCGATAAGAAATTCGCTTTGTAAACGGAATAAAAATTTAAAAATATCCGAGACTTCCTTATTTGCATAGCAGACCGACTTCCAAACCTTAAGAGAGGCAAACAATTTCTCCACCAAATCTTACAAAGCGATGCGATAAATTAAAATGAACTATAAAGTGAACAAAAATTACCCATCTTGATCTTGGTAACAAACAAGCGACTATCTAAGTAATGAAATGTGAAAAGACATGTTCCATCAAATGTAAAATTCATTAGGAATGGTATAATTTAAGACACATGGTTTTTCTTATTAACTAATTCAATTAACATCACCACATCACCTTTTAGTATATGGAGGATTGCGTAATGTTTCCCGAAGCCAATTCGTTCCAAGTTGAATAGGAAACTCGATCCAACTTCAAAACTGACAACAAAATGTAGATGTTTGGGTGGCGAGCTCAAACATGAAATTAAGCACAAATAATTGGCCTTATTTTATCGTGTTCTGACGTTCGAAATTTTAGACCTTTATATGGGCTAGGTAAAAACGAGATACCAATATTATTTAATTATTTAAGACATTCATATGTGATTTATAATTAATATTCCCATATTATAAAATTCAAACTTTTTTTTATTGAGCTCATATAGTTGTAGGAAGCTGGCAACACTGATTGCTTGACCCTTTCAGGGAACTGTTTATTGAACCAACTGTGCAACATTTGTTTTTACCGTTTAATATGATTGTCAAACTGTCTTTCGTACTTGTTGTTATATGGTCCTTTACTTAGTACTGACCTAAAAGCTTACATTACTCCGTGCCATCTAAACAAATATTGCTTAATGTTTAGCAGTGTAGTCAGTAGCAACCTGACATCTATTTTCTGTCCCTTAGTGAATTTTTACTGGTTTAAATCTGTAAACTAAGGCTTCTCATTACGTTGTGATTTCAACTTTGACCCTACCTCTAATCGGCTTCACCTAATTTACGATCTATGGTCAACATAACTATACCAATATAAAAACTGAAAAAACCATGAATTACAAAGAAGATAAATAATCACCAAACCGAAAAGAGGCGTGTATAAACGTACAGTAGAGGAAAACCAGATTGTTATTCGACACAATGTGTCTATAAGTGACTATCCAGCAATTATTCAGGAATCGATGGTTGCACTATCATGTTTTTTTTTCTTTACCCATTAACTACAGAACTAGGTAGATATAAAGGGCCTATAACACGAGAAGAAATTATCATCCCTTTTCTATAGTAAAATGATAATTTGGCCTAGGCGATTAGGACAGTTTAAAGGGAAGAGAGCGGGAGGGTCCTCCCTACCTGCGGGTCTCTTTTGTCAGCCTGACATCTGAGGGAGGAATGTTTAGCTCCAGGATCTTGGAGGGAAAAAAAACAACAAGAAAAGAAAGGAGAGGATTGTTCTGTTGTCAGGGTTATCGAATTTCATCCACGTCCTTACGATGAATTATCTGCGCCTTACAAAGGAGGAGGGGAGTGCCTGGTGGCAGTGCTACACCCCTCACCACGAGTCAACAAATGATTCCCACGAATAAATCAACAAGATACACCGCAATTTAGGCTCAAATGGTCACTTTATAC